GTATTTGAGAAATTTGAGAAAATGTAAAAAAAATATTTTTTTATAAAAATTGTTCAAATAAAAGTTGTTTGTAATATTATTCTCTATAATTTTTATTTTATATATAATTTCTCTAAAATGGACCGTATTCGAGATATTTGAGAAAATGTGTAAATTTCGAATTTTGAAGAAAACTCAAAAACGGATAAAGGAAAAAACAATAAATTTTAAACTTAAGTTTTATTTCGGCCTGACGTGAAATGATTAGATTTTGGACAAAATCAGAACATCTAGGGGGGTACTTTATGGGAGGCCGTTTTTATATTTTATGGAATATATCTGTTATTTATGTTTGGAGAAGAAAATTGTTCAAATAAAAGTTACTTCTAATATTATTATCTATAATTTTGGTTTTATGTCAAAATTGCCTGAAACTTAAAGTTGTTTGCGATATCGATCTCTATAATTTTTGTATATACATGATTTTTCTAAAATGGAGCGTAATGGAAAAGTGCTAAATTTAAATTTTTCAGTATTTTCGTTTTCAATGAATATCTATAGAAAAATGTTTCGAGGTAGATGTATGTGAACAATGTGTATATTTAGTTTATCCTCTAAACATTTATAGAGATGCTGCAATAGGTTTTACAAAATAACTGGAAAAAGCCTATAATAACTAGATAGGAAAGTCATGTGTTGGACACATCAGATTTTTCTGAGAGCAGTGTTTCCTGAAAGTACGCGGGAATTCTTCTACGGGGTCATCGGCGGATGCAGGTGAGAACGTTCCGATTGTCCTACCATTCCAGATCCTAAAACCTCCCCTCCTTTCCAATTAAACAATCAGTCAGAAAGTCCCGATAACCCTTGGAAACAAATAGCCATGACTTTCTCTCAAAATATTTATAACAAACCATCAGAACCTCCCAATTTTAGGTCAGTAGATCAAACTAACCCAGTCATTTTCCTTCAGAGACTTCACAAATATTTTAAGCTGACTCATGCCCCTCAAAAGGCCTGGCTTAACATAGCAAAGCATTCTTTACCATGTCACTCGTGGTGTCCTAGTCACTTCATACTCGATCACGCCGCCACTTTATTTATCATACTTTTATAAAAGAGAGAGAGAGAGATATTATTTAAGTTGTCTCTCTTTATTTCAGTTGGTTACACTACAAGGTAAAAGGGTGTGCATTACTAACCACAAAATGTGTAATTAAATTGAGTATCATAATCCATTCTGCGCCTGGTAAAATGTACATGCAATACACCGCACTACGAACACACAACCAGCATAGGTATCACAAATCACAATCCAACCATGCAACAATTAAGACACCTTTTTATTGAGACAAATCAAAAGAAAATGAATGTAGTTAGTGGCGTGGTCATCGTGATCGTGGATCTTCGGCCTCGCACGAATACTAGTTTCCTCGAGTTCTCGACGGGTGGAAAGGATAAAACCGTTAATATTTACTAAGAGTTATTAAACAATTACTAGAACGTATTAAAGAGTTTAATAAATATTATTAAACAAATTTAATAGAATTAACAATACTTATGGATATTAAAGTTTTTTAATAATACATGATTGGCTATTAAATAACTGACTAATTACAGCAACTTCAGGTTAATAGATTTCTAGCAACCTTCGTTTAATTATTGGTATTAACCAAAAATAAGGTAATTTATTAGTGGTTTTCAAATTTTTTTCTATTAAACATGTTTAATAGACCTTGTTTTCTCGGTGTATTTTGATGGTTTTTAGGTAATGGTGTACAATATGTAATTGTGAAAATAAAATGTTGATACTCTTTCTACTCTACATGCTATACCTATGTTGTGCAGCATCAAAAATAATTAACACTAGAATAGTAAACTTTGTATGGGTGTGTATATACCAAAGAGGTTAGAAAGGGTAGAGGTAACATAGGAAGCATTTGTCGCTGCGCGAATTTTGCCAAAACCGAAAAACTGGGTGGAAGGAGTAGGGAGATGTTCTGGGACGGACTTAAATATTTGTATTGTAGTACCTAATTTTGGTAGGTAACTAAAAGAAAAATTATGAGACTTTTTTTTTGACTTCATTTGTTAACACGATTCATTTATGATGAGGGCAATAACACTTTATCAATATATAGCTAGAAGCCAAGGGCCGATTCCACCGTTTGTTAAAGGAAGTTTAAATTACTAAAAGAAGATTAAAATGACATTGTTAATGTAAAAATGTAATTTTAATGTTCGTTTAGTATTTTAAACTTTGTTTAACAAAACGATGAAATCGACCCTAAGTAAAAGTTTATAAAATTATTGTAACAAAATAGCTGTTGAGACAAAAAGTTATCGAAACAGTCAAAGTACTTTTTGCTGGAATTTCACACAAGATTTTTTCTACGATCACACCGAAATAAAATAAATAATTAAATTTTATTAGAAATGGGTTACCTTTTTGATGGTTATAATATTTTAAGTTTATTTGACAAAAGCTTACTCTTCGAAGAGAAAAAAATGTTTTGGTACTTATATGCCGGTAATTATTTATGATTTAAATATTTACGGAAAATACTGCAAAATCATTTAAAATATTAGGAAGTCAATTAATAACTATTTATGTAACCATTTACGAAATGCCTTATTTTGTGTAACGAGTAAATATTTGCTGGACGAGCTGAGCGAGAACCGGCAAAATGAACTAATTACACAAAACGGCATTTCGTAACGTTTTTAAATACAAGATCTTTTCTAATTTTGACTTGAATATTTATAAAATTGTGTTGAAAAATGATTCACCATCATTCTTTCGTAGGTACTTCCAATCAAATATTTCAAAAAATTGTTGTATTTGATTGCAGTACGACGTTTTTTTTTCCAATAGTAATAATAAAAATAAGGGACATGTGCAGTGTTGCCGATCTGATTTTTGACATTACTCGCGGGAAATTTGAAAAAAAAAACGATTTTACCCATTATCCTTAAAGGAGTCAAAATTTTACCCCCAACATTTCTGGGCAGTTTTCAATAACGATGTTCAATTATTTAAAAAATGAAACGCAATTTACAGCTTTTCTTTTTGTTTTCTTTTTTGTTGTTAAACGTAATGTTTTGAAAGAACTATTGAAACCAGTTGTGAAGTTTGAAACGAATAAATTAGCAAGGAAATTGATATTTTTGTATTTGATTAAATGTTACTCTTTCCACTTCCTGAAAAAAGATTCCCCATGAAACAAGAAATAGTAAACAGTTTATAATAATAACCTTAATTTGCTACTTATAACATGTACCAATGACCAAGTCCGATTCTGTTTATTTTTAAATCAACAAACATGGCCGTCGACAGAATCTTTAAAAATTAAATCTCACCAAAATAAATGTAAGTTTCTTTTATCTCCGTCACTTTTCGCACTTTTATTATAAATAAAGCTTTTTACAGCACATATTGGCATTTTCAACTTTAATTTCCAAAATTTAAGTCACTAAAATACCAAATTAATTCTCGTTGACACATTAAATTTGGATGGACAACGCTCTGACATGTGATGTTTTCAAATGTGATTGGTGAATGTGAATAATTTCGAAATGGGATTATTCGTACTGTCTTATGTTCCATCTAAGGTTTGAATAATCTAAGGTATATACCAAATTTAAAATACAGGGCTACTGAAATGCTGATTTTCTTCATATGGAATGTTTTTAGATTATTCAGTACAATGTTCCACTTATCTTTAAAAAAAAATAATGAAGTATTGAATACGACACCCATAGGAATATAATTTTCGATATCTTAAATATATTAAATAATGGATGTACACTGGATATGTAAACATCTATAGGATATATCTATTGGTTACTTATGAACCTCTACTAAAGTTACCCATTTGATATTTTGCTGGATATCCATAGAATATCTTCTATATTCCGGATTTAGATATCCATATTAAATCCACTGGATATCTATGATATCCTGTGGATATATTGGATATCCACAAAATATATTCTGTGGATATCTCTGGGATTTTGTGTATTGTCTGAGAGATACCCATTAGATATTTTACTGGATATCTATAGGATATCTTCTATATCCTGGATATAGACGGACATTTGGATATCCATATTAGATCCACGAGATATATATGATATCCTGTGGATATATTGGATATCCACAAGATATTCTGTGGATATCTCTGGGATTTGGTGTGTTGTCTGAGTCGTAAACCATCACGTCTTGCATAGATGATGAAGCAAACATCGATCTTATAGATGGCCTTTTCTCTAGTTTTTCTTTTAGTGCTTGAAAGAATAACAAGGGCTTACTTTTTGTCAGTATGTACTCTAAATGAATAGTCTTCCATTTTTGAAGGCTTCATGGCACCGTTACTGAATACTTTTTCACATATGAGACATATCGGCAAATGTTGGTTAAATCCAAACTTCAAGCAGTTCAAACTGTAAGTATTGTCGGAATTTTTTTCGTGTCTGCCATCATAAAACTCACGGTAAACCTGCAAACAAAAGAAAATATGTTTAAGAAACTACTTAAAAAAAAATAATAAAACTGTTAAATTTACACAGGAGCTTATTTTTGTCACACCTAGGTACATGATGTTTTTTAGGTATGCTTACGAACTTACTCATTGATAAACTTGGATATAGTCACTGTATTATAGAAAATTTGTATTAGGTACCAAACAGCGTAAAAAAAACTAAGAAAACATCATTTATAGTTTTAGGTAACGACTTTTCTAAAGTAATTTCAAAAAATACTTAGAAAAATATTTAAATATTTTTTGGTACTTACCCTGTTACTTTTTCATGAACTGCAGAAATGTATGGTTACGCTATTAAGGGTCGATTCCACCGTTGTGTAAAACGGAGATTAAAATGACATTGTTAATGTAAAAATGTCATTTTAAACTTCGTTTAACACAACGGAGGAATCGGTCCTAACGCGCGTAGGTAACTAAGCACCGACATCCACAAAAGTAAGCAGAAAGACTCTTTGGAACATCAGAACATACTTTCAGACGACAAATATCAAAATCCGCAACAAACAGCAGAGAATTATGGAACTTTGCAGAAAACCAGCGAAGAAAGTATGGAGAATAAGAAACCCGAAAGTTTGGAGAAAGTGGCTGACAGCTTAAAAAGTATGCAGAATACGCGAGACAGTCGCAAAAGCTACGAGAACGCAGCCGACCAACAGCCGGAGCAGCCGCCAAGCGATTCGACTCACGACGAAGGCAATGTATCTCAGTCATCGCAACTTAGTTTCGACGGACCGAGAGCCGATTCGAACGACGAAAGTATGGAGAAACTGATAAATACCCTTGAGCGCTCCCACAGTGAATCGAGCAGCTCGGAGACAGATGATCCACCCGAATTGAACATAGACGAACAAGGTTCTGACACCGACACCCCCGACACAATCAAAAATTCGTCAACTTTTGAACAAAAAAAAAAGTTAGGAGAAAATTCTGAAACCTCAAAATTCGAATCTGCCTATAAGACCCTAGCTATGCCTAGTCACGTAACGGCCAGAATACTCAACTTCAGGCAAAATGAGGCCTCATCAGGGGAGGAATCACCAAGCATCAGCAATACACACTCTCCACAGAATATTTTACAGACGTCAGTAGACATCCACCCCCAAGCACTATCACTACTTCCTCAGAGAAACCAACAAATCTCACCGAAATCGCCAGTCCCAAAAAGGAAAAGGACAAACGAAATACCACCCCAAAAATTGGACGAAATTCAGACCGTAGTAGATATGGATACAGATACAAACACAGGGGAATTCCAAACCCCTAAAAAATTCTCGACCAATTTCGTGAAGATTCTCAGGCAAAAGGCAGTGAGATCACTAAATACCAAAAATAGATTCGAAGTCCTATCAGAATCGGAATCTGAGAATGATGAACAACACAAGGATCCCCCTGTGAAAAAGGGAGGAGATAGCAAACCTCAAGCTCCACCGAAGCCAAAACCACCTACCACAGGGGCAAATTCTACCAAAACAGCTAAGAAATCCGTAATGCCACCTATAGTAGTAGAGGGCACGACTGACAACCATGCCAATCTCAAAAAGGACTTAAAAAACATAATCACTGGACCCTACACGGTTAAATACACTACAAATTCAACCATCCTATTTGTAGAAAAACAACAAGATTATTCCGACCTAATAACGAGCATCAGAGAGGCGAAAATTCCATTCCACACGTACACGAGCCGTGCAGAAAAATCACACGCATTCGTACTCAGAGGGTTGACAAACGGGACCGAGAAGGAACACATAGAAGAAGATCTCATACAATCGTATGACATTAAACCCAGGGAGATCTATCAGATGTCAACCAAAAATCGACCATTGTTCCTAGTGGTCACAGATCCGGCCATTACCCTGGATTTCCTAAATAAGAATGTACGTGTGATAGAAAACACTAGAATTATATGGGAACTTAGAAAATCCACCAAGGATATAATCCAATGCCATAACTGTCAGGCTTGGGGACACGCCACCGCAAATTGTGGCCGGCCCTCTAAATGCCTCAAATGCGCAGACGCTCATCACACAAGAACGTGTATTAAGACACGGGACACCCTTGCAACATGTGTGAATTGCGGGGGAGACCACCCGGCGAATTACAGCCAATGCAAAGCATACTTGGAAAGGCTTGAAAGATTGAATGAACGGAGAACTCAGAGGCCACCAAAGAAGTTCATCCCAGCACCCCCACCGAAAGTGAACATGTGGGACAAAAAAAGAACAACCACAAGAAATGACGACGACCAAGACTTCCCACCTCTGCCAACCAGAAGAGCCCAGCAACCACCACAACAACAACATCAACCCCAACAACAGAGCCAGGGAGCCATGGACGACATATTTGCCTTAAACGACGAATTCAACACCCTTAACTCCCTAGTCAACATTGCGGAACTCACACGTGCAGTCAGAGACCTTAACACAGCGATCAGACGCTGTAGGGATGAGAGAGAGGTATTTTTAACGTACAACAACTTTGTATCCAACTTAAACACATACAAAATTAGAAACTAAATTCAACGCGACACACAGGGACAAAATCAGAATCTGTTTTTATAATGTACACGGCTTGCTATGCAAGAAAGGTTTAGTCACCAATTTCATTCACAAGCATCAACATGACATCATAATATTAACGGAAACATTTTTACAACCGACAAATAAACTTAAAATTAGAGATTATCACATTATCAGAAAAGACAGACCGAACATACAAAGACAAGCAGCGGGAGGGGTCGCTATACTCATTAAAAAATCGATAAAGTTTGAACAATTAGCAAACGCGAACGTAGCGCCTCACATTGAACACGTCATAATCAAAGTAGATAAATTCACTATAATAGGAGTATACAACCCGCCTCCCTTACTCATTCGAACTATTGATTTACATACGCTCATGTCGAAAGGTAATAGAGTTATTCTCGCAGGGGACCTTAATTGCAAGCACCCCGAATGGGATGCTAACTGCACTAGACCAAATACAGCGGGAACTTTACTGAGGGAAGCTACCGAGGACAACGGTTATATAATACACTACACGGAAGAACCGACGTACACACCATTTAACAATTTCAATCCAAGTACACTGGACATCGCAGTTACGAAAAACATACAAGACGTACAGAACATCAGGACTATATCCACACTAAACACTGACCACGACCCAGTGTACTTGGAAATCAAAACTACTAACAAAATTAACAGACTTCAAACGCAATATTACGACTACAAAACTACTAATTGGAACACTTACAGACGGATTATAGAGACAAATCTCACAATCAATAAAAACATACACAACATACAACAACTTGAACAACACACAAATGAATTTATTAATGTCGTACAAAAAGTTAGAAACGACACTACTAAAATCAAAACAAGAACTCAACATACCGACGACCTGCCACCCGAACTCACGGAACTCATAACTACTAAAAACCACATCAGAAAGCGGTGGCAGACGCATAGGAGAGAAGAAGACAGGCTTAGACTCCGTAACCTAGCCAACTACATTAACTCAGAGATTAATACACACAGAAACTCAAAATGGCAGAAAACCCTGTCCGAAATCAATCCTATGGACAACTCACTGTGGAGAGTAGTGAAGGGTTTGAAGAAACCTCAATCACTACTCCCCCCACTGATACAAGGACAGAACACGTACACCTCAGACACAGACAAAAGCCACGCCCTCGGCAGCTACTTTCAGTCAAACTTCACAAACAACACTCAAAACAACAGAAATCAGCAGATCATCGAAAACATGATCAATGAAATAAAGTTAACCCCCCCACAACCAGTCCCACAAACTTTCATGACCTCTCCTAAAGAGGTAGGGGAAGTAATTAAGGGCCTCAAAAACAGAAAAGCTCCAGGACCGGACGACATAAGCAACATCATGCTCAAAAACATCCCTATTAAGGCAATTGTTCAACTTCATTACCTAATAAATGCCATTTTCAGGTTACAACACTACCCTAGTAACCTGAAAATGGCAAATATAATCCCAATTCTCAAACAGGGCAAAAACCCAAATAACATCGAAAGTTACCGACCCATCTCGCTACTCAACACTATAGCCAAAATTACAGACAAAATTATACTTAAAAGACTAAAACAGGTAGAAGAACAACGACAAATTGTCCCGCAGGAACAGTACGGTTTTCGAAGCGGACATAGCACCGTGGCCCAGGTCATTAGAATTGTGCATCACGCCAAAGAGGCGTTTAATAATGACCTACAAACGGTGCTAGTCGCACTTGACAGCGAGAAAGCATTCGATACCGTATGGGCCTGCGGGTTAATTCACAAGATGCTGGTGAATGATTTTCCAGTGTATATTGTAAAAATAATTCTGTCTTACTTACAGGACAGACAATTCAACATAAAACTTAACTCAACAATCACAGGACCATACACAGTGCAAGCGGGAGTACCACAGGGCTCGGTATTATCGCCGCATCTGTACACCATCATGACCCATGACATGCCAATGGGACATAATGGGGTACAGACGGCGCTATACGCCGACGACACCTGCGTCTTCAAAAGTGACAGATCGGCAGAATCAGCGGTCAGGGACCTGGACGCCCATATAAATGAAACGTTAATCCCTTACCTGGTTGAAAATAAAATGAAAATTAACCCTACGAAGACAGAATGTCTCCTTTTATCAAAACGTAGGACCCAGGGAATTATCACACCCCTAAGAGTCGGTGAAGACATAATAGAAACTAAAACTACCCTTAAATATCTGGGATTTCAACTAGATAAGGGATTAACGTTCAGAGCACACATACAGGATAGGGTAGGTAAGAGCATTGCAGCCACCCGCATGCTCTACCCCATTCTAAACCGTAGAAGCAGACTTTCACTGCAAAATAAACTTCTCCTTTTCAAAACCATCCACAGACCAATCCTCACATATGGGTGTCCAGTGTTCTGCTCGATGGCCAACGTTCATTACAATAAGTTACAGGTCGCTCAGAACAGGTGTATTAGGCTAGCCCTGGGCTATGATCGTTATGCACGAATTGCAGACATGCACACAGAGACAGACATACCGTACATAAAACAATTCATACTGACGACAGCAGACAGTTTCTACGCGCGATGCCTCCCTGATCCTGTAAAGGAGAGCATCACTAACATTTACAGAGGAGACAACGTGCGTAGAAAACACGGGTGCATCCACGCAAGACTAAACATTTTCAGACGAAGACAGTAACAGAACCCACCACAGCGACAAATAAACTAACAACAATTCACACCGATCAGATACTCGAATCTGGTCGAACGGCGGACTGCGCGGTGAATCGGCCGCTGGGACACAGACCGAAAGCCCTATACACTTTCGATCGGTGCCCGGGCGGAAGTTTCATCGCGCAACAAGCCAGTGGATTGTGACAACAACCAAAGACTACAAAAGACCAACGCACATACAAGGACAACCCTGTTTTTTACTAGCTTTTTCCAGGGGACAATAACCAAAACTAAGACAAGACACAACTAAAAATACTTCTCAATTGTCGATTTCAATTTCAATCAAAAATTTTCAATAATACCGAAACGGTAAGGAGTGAGAACCGCACAACATAATAGAAATCCCACTACGGTATTAACAGGCAGATATGTCTGCCATGGTCCTCGGGCCCGCACGAAGCTTAGGCCTAGTGTCGAATTGTTTTTATTGTGTGAGAATTGTAGATATTACTTAAGTTGAAAATAAAGAATTTTAAACCTAAAAAAAAAGCACTTGGTAAATTCTTTTTTTTGATTCACTTTATTTAAGTATCTCTTGAAATAAATTAGTAAATGAAGGTATTATCATTCAAGCTCCAACGAATTTCAAAACGCAAATAAACTTTTAACCTCTGAGAACTTTTTAAATAGTAAAATATCAGGAGCATGTTTGGACTTGAACTTGATTATGATTTCGTTCTTGTTAAATCGCATATGTCAAACATATAGAGCCTGAAATACTTGTACGCTCGAACCCATTATCTTGCAAGAACTTGTCCACGCTTATTGACTTGCTGAGTTTTTCATCTTGTACGAACTTTTGCACGTTTATCGACTTGTTGAGTACAACAATGATAATTTCTACTAAAATATTAGTCATTCTTTTAACAAGTTGGTACACGTAACACAATTATATAGTATCTTGAAAGTTTCAAATAAGAACTTGTGTTAATTAATAGGGGTTGATTTTTAGACTTCATCGGCTACCAAAGTCAGTGTTTGTTTATGTCAGCTCCTAAGAAACTAATTTCGACCACAAGGGGTCGATATCGACCAATTTGGGAATCCCTGATTTAAACTTTCAATAATAATGTATATTATTGATTTTAAAAGCAAAAAAGGTTTATTTTTATTTATTTTCTTTTCGCAACTGGTGACATAAATTAATTTTTCGAAACCCTTTCATAATGTTCAAGATTATGCAACTGGCTGCATAAAGTAGATCATTTGACACTTGCTGCGATTACAAAAGATGTCAGTTTATATAGAAAAAAATATTTAGACTATTTTGATTTATGGCAAATTTTGAATTTTGATTTTAAACTTTTAACATCCAGTTTCTCGGTAACTAAGCCGTTTTAAGGTACATGTTAATGTATCAAAATTCATCAATAAGCGAGAGCTCACTGGGATAGAGCTATTATTTAATTTGCACGTATCAAAGTAACGAAATCAGAATAAATGTCAGTTTTATCTCATCTCTAAACTTGCCTTTCTCAAATATACAAGATGAAGAAGGTAATAAGACTATATTTATAAAAGAAATAAGTTTTAATTGTCCTTATTTGGACAATCCTTATTTGTAAAATTTGCATATTGCGCCGACTTTGCTGAGAAAGAGGATATTAAAT